CTCGCCACCACGCCTAGTCTCAATCCCCCTCTCACTGTGCCACGGGGGTGGAGCAGGCAGTCGCTGAGCTTGCCTAAGCAACTGCTTTGGTCCGCTGAGCTATCTGGTTGGCCCTTGTGGACTTAAAGCCACCATACTTGGACTTTTGCTTTGTTGGTCTTTTTATTCTTGAAGTTTTCCCCTTTGTCTTATTAGTAGAAGCAACTGCAGTGTCTTTCTTCTTTCTGAAATGCCTTTTCTTTCTGTTACTCAGCACACCAATAAAAGTCTTCACATTTGTTTTAAAGAAAAAAAAATCAAAAAGTTTAAATGGATGAACTATTTTATGTCTTCAGTCACAAGCTGACCATCATTTAGAGTCTGTTAATAATTTCAATCCATCTGAATACAAGAATTTTCACACATGTCATTATGAATGAATGCATTTATTCTAAGAAATTGAGTTCCCTGAAACAACTCATATATGTCTATATGCATATTCATAAGGGTTACATGCATAATGCCTTCTGCAGAATGTTGACATGATTGATGAGTTGTGCTTCACATTCCACCCACAAAACATATGAGACCACTTAGGAGTTTGTTCCCATGGAATATCTCGTGTTCCCATAAGCATTTAGAAGGGTTTAGAAAAAAAATATTGACTTTATGTTCACATTTGGATTGAATTTTCTATGTCATTTCACCTATGTCTCTGCCTGTATTCTATTTTGTGCTGGGATCTTAAGATATTGTATATGATTGAAACTCTTCCATGGTGAACATTTTTCAACACAACTTAGAGAAAAATAAATGGAATGAATGTCTTTTTGGGTGTGTCCTGCAGGAACAGCACATAAGCCTCCAAAAGTGATGGCCATGTCAGAGTCAATGATTCTCTGCCTGTGAGGCCACATAAAATCTCAGTGTGTGCGTCTAACATTTGAAGTGTCCGAACTGTGTTGATGGTGAGTCATGGATGTGGATGGTCTCTCCAGTGGCAGAACACTTTAGGGCATCAGCAAGGGAAGTTTCATGGAAGGAAGAGGAGGCAGAAAAGAACACAGTTCTGCTTGCAGAACATTCTGTTATAGACACTTTTCACATCATGTGAGCTTCAAATACCTGTATGATAGGAACTGAAGCAAAGAGGTTTTTCACGTCTTTTGCTTTAACACACAAATTGTATGTAAAACTTGTGAGGTTTCCATCCTGCCAATATCCCTCTCTTTGTAGGGGAGTGCCCACTGCCAGAGGTTTCCTGCCTACACTTTCTTTGGAAGATTCTTACCAAGATCAAGGAAAGCTCATAGACACTAAATCTCATGATACCTTTCAACATTTTTAATGCACACATCCTAGAATTTATTCTTGCTTTTGGTCACTTTCCTCATCTTGTAAATGAATTCTGTATTTTTTTCCATTTTTATTTGTCACATTAAATACAAAGAGTTCATGTTTAATTTGTGGAATATCCCCTTATGCTTCCCACACTGTGTACGGATATTTCTCTGGAACTTACACAATCACAAGTTTCACAAAACATGAGGAAATTTATGATAAAAGCACCAAATTCACTTGCATATCATCTTTTTTTTCAGCGTCTCAAACTTCTACTATTTTCTTCTCCCTTTCCACTGAGACATGGTCTGTCACTTTCCATGGTTTACAGAAAGTTTTGTTCATCGTGGTTTCTTGAGAAAACGTTGTTAATTGCCCATCTTAGGTAATTAAGAAGAGAAAGATTTTCAAAGTCAATTTCAATTCCCTGAGAATACACTGTTCATTCTACACCAGTTGACTGGATAATCGCAGTTCTGTAGGGAAGTGAGCTGAAACAATTTCAAATTGTCTCTCAGGACCTTGCTGTATTCCCATAACTCATCCTCTACATTTCCCTTTGTCTACCCTCCTGTCAAAGGTCAACAGATACTTTACTATATATTTATCTGGTTGAACAATTTCGAATGAAAACACTTCAATATGTGGACGATATAATGAAAGTGATTCTTCTATGCCAACATGGCCCATTGACATCAGCTCAACACCAAACGGAAGAATATTTTCAAAGCAGAATATAACCTATGAAGTGTCAGGTAAGAGAGGAAACATCTATCTGTGATCTATTCTATTGTCATTCATGGGGTCCTGCCCCGTAGCTCAGTTCTTTAAGTGGCTGCTTCTACAAAGCAGTCAGGCTCAGGTTGCTGTGGTTTGATCCCCACAACTCAAGTCAGCCAAACCTGCCCTGAAGGCATTCGGAACAAAAAAAAATCTTTATATTGTTATTCATGGACTATTATTCATGGAATATCATGTTATTCATGATATTCATGATATCATGTCCTAGTGAGAGATATACAATGCAGGCCTCAAATATGAGTGATTTTTTTAAAAATCCCATAGTTACACATTGAGGCTCTATTGCAGACAGGAGAGGAGTTGCACATTGCTATCCTCAGGGACAGACTGTGCAGCCACAGAGTACTGCAATGAGTACTATTCAAGTGTGAACATTTATCACTCTTAAAGTGACCATGGAATGGGATGAACGCATAATGACTGGCTGTCCATGGGCGTGCCTAGTCCAAGTACTGTCTATTCTTCTTGGAGGAAGAGAAGCAGTCTTCTAATTATTATTATTAGAGATAATTTCCTGAGAGCAGGTTACAGGAAACAAAAACTTTATGTCTTTAGCAGGCATAAGATCCAAGCATATTTTGCAATGAGACTCTCTTTCTTCCTGATAGACTCTCTTTCTTCCAGTCCATTCCTCTAATCTATTTTATAAAATTGTGCTCCTTCATTTTCCAAATGCATAGGTCTCCATGACTTCCAGGATACCATTTCATGGTGTTGGTGAAGAGTAACATTTTGAGTATGTGTGTGAATTTATGTTTGTTTATCTGTATGTTTGCTTGTATTACTAAAGAAGAATATACTTACAGGTGATGATAAATATTAGAGTTAATAAAAAAGGCTAGAAGAAAGTGAAATGCTGCAGAGACACAACATAATATTTTGTCAGATGATTAGTATCTAAAGTGATATACATTATATTAATTTCAGGGAACGCTTGAAAAATTGGGACCTGAAACATCTTCATTGATATTCCCACCGTAAGATTTCATTATTTGTGTCTAGAGTCAACCAAATTGTCACATGTGGGTAAAGTCTAACAATAATTTCTTTAGCACAATGACATTTAACTTTCACCTGACTGTATAATCAGAAAAATGTATTTATTTTAACATTATCAATGTCCTTTCCTCTGCCTAAAGCAGCACCTTTTCCCACCTCTCAATGGCTGAGGATCTCCAAAATATATTTGCCACCAGTGGAAATGGGTATGTACTCACTATCTGGGGACTCTGAATTTTTTCACCAGATCATGTGTCTTGCAGAACCATAAGTTTTAAACACAAAAGTTTTATGCAATATTGATAAATGGTAAGATGTAATCCTTCTGGTTGACATTTTATTATTTTAAAATTAATTTCATTCTTATTTCACAACTCAAATTTACTGATGTTTTATAACATTTAAATGTAGCAATTCAGAAAGGGCAGCACAGCCCATAAGTCTATAACTGACATTCAACTCTCCTTGTACAACACTTGAGATCTTCACAAACATGGTTCTACCAAGGCATCAAGTGTTCGCTCCACAAATAGCATTTATTTACAGAGTTCATCATCTGAGTTTGTAATGCTTTATCTGTTTATGTTATCTTTCTATAATATGCTATTTTATTCTATTTTTGTTAAAATACACTTCTCTATTTATTTAGTCAAATAATTTTAGGTGACTAAGTAATTGTTACTGTGCTATTTGTATGAAGTTATAAATCCATATTACTACATGCAATGCTTGAGCAATTCACATTTCTTGTTATTACTAAATGCTATTATACAAATTTAAGAATGCTTTATTATAGCTACTTTTAAAACAGCTCTTTGATTCAATGTTTTATATAACAGATTTGATTGTCATTAATTTAAATAAATGTAAAAGGAAGGCAAGTAAATAATCTACTAAATATCATTCAATATTTAATACTTAAATATTGTGAAGGATTTTGTCTGTTACTTTCTACACCACAACAACGTTGACTATGGTCAGGCTTTCTAATAACTGCTCTGAAGTCTTTTAACATTTGTAGAAACATAATAAGACTCACTCTTCAAATTTACTAAACTCTTATGGAACTGTATTTACATTAAATACTTAGAGTTCCTTATGAAAATTATTGCCAATTTTGAATTATAAAACATGCCATCCAGGTAGTATTATGGTTTTATCACTTCACACAAATGGCAAGCAAACTATTACTTAGTCACATAAGAATATTTGACTAAAAGACTGGAGAAAGTATAGATCAAAATAGCATATTGTATAAATATCACACACATACTGACAAAGCATTAAAAAATCAAACCTCTAACAAAAATATACACCATTGTACTTGCATATTGAAAAAAATACAAGGAAAGAAATTTGGAGGAGGGGCCAGGGAGATGGCTAGTAGAATAAGCACTTCCCTGGTAAGTGCAAGGTCCTGAGTTCAATCCCTGGTTACGCCAAAAACAAAAGCAATTTTGGGGAGGTCCTGCAGGAGTGGAAATAGTAGTAGTAAATAACGAACTGAAAATACTTTTTTTTCTTTTTTATTAATTTTAATGGGAAACAAATAGCAATGAAATGGTCTCAAAACAGGTTAGTAGGACAGTTATATTAATTAATACATTGCATATTATTGTCTTCCTAATAGTTATTCAGAGTACAAGATGCACACATGATGTCTTGACTAAACAATATTAGTACAAAACTTTCTTCTCAAAAAAAAGGAAGATATAAATGAAGGACAATTTTGTAGTAGAAAAAAAATATATATATATATACACACACACGAAATAGTTAGGATAGATATACAGGAACTTAAACTTCTTTGAGGAAACACACCTGGACCTTTCCGACCAAGATTTGTTGACTTTGAATGAAATTATTGAACTCATAAAATAATGTCACCCCATGGTCTAGCAATCAGAATCATCTTTGTTGCTCAGACAGGAGTTGGAATGCTGGGAAATATTTTGCTTTTATACAATTATATCTTCATTCCCAACCCTGATAAAAGGCTAAAATACATGCATCTGATCATCAAAAATTTAATTTTGGCAAACTGTTTGGTTCTTCTCTCCAGAGGAATTCCTCATACAATAGTCGTCTTGGGGCTGCAATATTCTATGGGGGATATTGGGTGCAAATTTGTCTTCTATGTTCATAGAGTGGCCCGGGGTGTGACTCTTAGTACTACCTGTATCTTGAGTGGACGCCAGGCCATCACAATTGGCCCTAACCATTGCCACTGGGTGAAAGTCAAGGCCAAAGACCCCAAGTACATGACATGTTCCATTTCGTTCTGCTGGATTCTTCACATACTGGTGAACAGTGTTTTCCCTGTGTACATTACCGGTGCCAGTGAAAGCACCAACAGCAGCCAGTATAAATACCTTGGGTACTGTTCCAGTATAGTTATTGAAAGAATGGAAAATTTACTGTACTCTGTAATCATGTCTTCCATTGATGTGCTGTCTTTGGGGTTTATGGTGTGGGCCAGCGTCTTCATGATGCTCATTTTGTACAGACATAAGCAAAATGTTGTACACATTCACAGCAAGAACTTCTCTTCTAAGCTCTCTGCTGAGACCAGAGCCACCCAGACCATCTTCCTTCTGCTAATCACATTTTTCTCTTTATACATCCTGTCTTCATTCTTTACCTTTTATCTGTCTTACTTTGACCAGCCCAGTCCGTGGCTGGTGGACATCAGTGCACTTTTGGCTGCCAGCTTCTCCTGTTGTAGTCCATTTGTGCTCATCAGCAGGGATGCGTATTTCTCCAGGCAATTTTGCCCGCTGCCAAAAGATGGACAATTTCTCTAATCTGATCATGGGTTATAATTTTCTTGTGGCTGAAACAAAATAGTCAGCGTACAAAATGAAAAATAAAGATATGTTTGGCTTACAGTTTTTAAAGGGTTTGGCTCATAGTTGGCTGGCTGCAAAGAGGGTGACATGGCATGGGTGAACTACACAGGAGAAACAAAGTGAGGCAAAGCCTGGCAAGCAGAATTCAGCAAGCAATATGCAGCAAATAACAAGCAATAAACAGCACTGCTGAGGGTTTTGCTAGCTTTTGGATGGCTCTCCAGATACAAGGCATAATAGCCAAAATGTATGTTTCTAAAGTGTTTCTAAAGGTTACTGTTACACAAACTATGCTAATTGGTAGCTACTGAATCAGGTATATTATAGACTCAATCAGAAAAATGAAATCAATTCAGCAAATTCTTTCTAGCTTCCCAAATAAACATGTTAAACAAATCCTTTTTCCTACTTTGCACAGTATACTTCTAACACAGAGCAGACTAGAACTTGGGATTTTCCCCTTGGGTTTGTACCCACATATTCCTTTACAACCCTGCTTTAACACTCTCCTATTTGTAAGCATGTCCCATTTTAAATTTTCATTTGATATACTAAGTTTTTAAAGTCTATGTGTCAGTTTCACTCATTCATTAATGTGGTTCAATAACTACTGGTCAACTTGTCATGCCCAAGTGAACTGAATCAGTACAGTTCTGGTTGTGGAAGGCCTACCTAAGGATTGCTGCTAACAGCATACTTGGAGAAGTGAAGGGAATAATAGAGTGCTGCTCATTTTCCTGGACAATCTCACCACACTAGTTTGCCTGATGTAAACTCAGCTTGTCTTATCATGGGAGGATCATATTCTTCACTGTTGCTGAGGACACTAGTGGTTCTTTTTTGGAGTGTTCTGGTTCTTACCATGATTATTTTTTCCTGGCTCCAGTACATATCTCTCAGCCTGCTGGCACAGAATGCTTACACCTCTGACACAGGCCTTCTCCCATCTACCGCTGACTTTTGAAAATTCCTAGTCCAGACTATAATGCACATGTTCATGAGGTATTGGTGTGTGATCTAGGCCTCCAGCTGGACTCACTGAGGACACTGCTGAGGGTTCTAACTCTCAGCTGCAAAAGTGCAGGACATTGTCATGGGACCCAGGCATTCAACTAGTATCTTTGAGTCTTTCATGCATGGATAGCTCTCTTGCAGTCTTCTAAATTTGAATTTGTGACAATATTACAAATAATCCTATTGTGTGTCATACTAAATCTCTTCACTTACAAACTCTGACTAAATTAGACGCATACATAAAATTAACTGCTGTCCCAAAGCAGCAGGTCAGTCAACAAAGGTCACCTGGGAGAGAAGCAGGGAATTGAAGAGGGGACAAAGGACAGGGGACGCGAGAAATGGAGACAAGACAGGATTCTGATCTGTTACCCAAAGGAAACTCTGAGTATATACAGTGGAGGCATAGGGAAATGACATCGGCGGGTAAAAGGCGCGAGTAACTAGGCAACTGGGCTATGACAGGAAGTCCCACCTCCAGGGCACAGCAGGAGACTTATGGGAAATAGGTGGGGTAAGAAGAATTAGGAGCTTAGCTCAGCAGAGGTAGGGGAAGAAGAACCTGGAAACCCACTTGCAATAGGATTGGAGGCCTGGAGTTATTGAGCCTCCCACAGATCCCCCTTTACTTTTATATATGTATGTAAAATATGGCTTCTGTAGGCGGCTGATTCCCTTGAGGGGGCAGTGCCTGTCTTAGGTCGAGGCATCCTCTACATGGACTCTACTCAAACCTTACCCATCATAGGAGACCAGGACAGCAGAAGGTACCATTCCTGTCTTAGGCGGCAAGTGGTGTCTCATGTATGCCCCTCATTACCCATCCATGGCTAGCCTGACCATCTCACCAAGGGTGGGAGAACTAAGAGGTCTCTGGACCTTCATCATCATAAGCTGGTTGTATTCCAGCACAGTTTTCCCTTTCAGCCATGTCAAGCCTGTGATAATGAACCTGAATAGTCTTCATCAAGGCTGCATTCAACTGCTGTTGAATGAAAGCCATTAGCCTATTAAAAATGCATGGGCCAACTGAAACCAGAAGTAAAAGGGTTATCAGGGGTCCTAAGATGGGTAGCTTTGAGAATGTCTAAGGTTTGAGTATCTATGTCAGAACTACATGATTTGGGGAGTGCCAAGGGATGGTAATGGATCTTTGGGAACATTCATTCCCAGATCTCTTGTAATCTCTTTTCTACAAAATGTTCTCTGAGAGAATCTTGGGGCCCTCCTCTATCAGAAACATGAATGGGGCGCTCTGGCTCCAGCAAACTGGCTTCCCTATCGTGCCTCTGCATGAGGCCTGTAGGTATTTATTGGGTCCTATTGATAAAAGTATTAATAGTCCAATCAAGGGTCCCAATAGGGGGAGAAGGTAGGGTAGTACTCCATTCCAAGTGCTCCAGAAAGGGTTTTCAAATAGCTCTCTTCTCTTCTTAATAAGATCTTCTTGAAGTCTCTTTATTTTGTCTCAAACAATACCAGAAAGCAGCAGCATTCCTGTAAAGCTAAGCAGATCCCTCCCTGCTCTGCTGTTAGAAGGTCTAAGCCCCTCCTATTTTGCAAGACTACTTCTGCTAATGAATCTATCTGGTCTTGGATATCTTGGATAGTACTGGATAATGTTTGTACATCATCAATCAGCTGATTAAATAATTTGGTATAAGAATGTACTGCTACTCCCAGTCCTGCTGTGCCTGTCCCCATGGCCACCATGACTCCTAGCCCCACTAATAAAGGGATGAACTGGACTGCCCTCTTTGTGCGGCCCATAGCATAATCTAAACTATGGAGGGGTACGGGATCATTACCAGAGATGACATCTATATTGGGCAATACAATTGCCATGACATACAGTCCTGTCTAGTTGGTAGGTAAATATGTGAAGGCTAAACTTCCCCCACATACAAACACATGTCCCTTTTTTGGGCAAATAGGGCTGCTATAGTTAAGTATTTGATTGCAGCTGGTGGAGGTAACAAATCCAACATCAACAGTGAAGCTATCATTGTGAATGCCTCCCTGCACGCAGGAAGACTTCCATAGGAGATAATCCCCCTCAGAGAGGGTGGCTCTGGCTAATGCTTGCCAGTCCTCAGGAGTAAGCTAATTGTTGGCCACAGTTTCTAAAATGACTGTGGTATATGGAGCTGTGGCTCCGTATTGGGCAACCACCACTTTTAGTTCCTTTAGTACTTTAATATCGAAACTAGATAGTGAGGTTAAGCTTAATAGCCTAAATCGTTTGATAATAGCAATAAGCTTGTCTTCTGGATGGTTAACAACCTAAGTTTGCAG